AAAACATCGACTAGATTGTTAGGTAAAGTCGTAAACTCCCCATCACTGTGAGGCTTCAAGTGGCACTGAATTGGAAGATGAGACAGATGACTTCTGACATTCATTCCATCACTAAGTTTCTACAAGTCCTTAAATAATACGTGGGCAATTATTGAAGCAAAGTTCTTCTAAAATATTCTTAAAGTGATAGCCTTTTAATTAACTTGATTTGAGGCCTCACTCCACTGTTCACTACAACCGTTACTAGAATTTGTTAGACTATCATCCCCGTGTCTCTGTTACAGTGATTATCATTTTTATTGGCCATTATATAATGACAAGTAGACACAGCCTCTGCCTTCTTAGGATGACAAATGATATGGACAGTCATAAAGAGAATACAGTGAGAGCCGGATATGAACAATGAATAAACACAAAAGAAAGCAAAAAGGTTTATGTGGTAAGCAGGTCAATATTTCACTTATTATAAGAGCGGGGAACAAAGCTAGACCTTGGAAAACACGTCCTTGACAGGTTAAGACCAGAAGAAGCCAACCTCCTGCTCCAGTTAACTTCAGCAGACTTCCTGGAAGAAATGAGCCTTCAGAAACATATAGATTCTGGCAATCAGCATTCGGTTAGGGGAATCTTTCCCCTGGGCTGCCAAGGGGAAAAATAGCCTAAGTGGTCATTTCCTCATGTTAATCCTGTTCTCCGGTTCTGTTCCTTCGTGATCTCTCACTACCCTCTCCACTGTGCTGATTTGAGAGAGGGGAACCAAGACCAAAAAAAGGGAAATGAGAGGAAGGGTATTTGTGGACTGTGATGGACATGGAATTGGGGAGAGTCCTCGAGTCCCCAAGTCACTGCTAAATAAACAGCCAGGCTCCCTGCTACTTCTGGCTAAGCCGTAACTTTGGGCAAAGTTACTTCTGCTTTGGACTCATTTAACCTTTAATCTGGGGATCCCCAATCATGTTACTGACATTAATTCCTCTATCCTCACAAAAACCTTAGGTTGATGGGAAAAATAAACCAAAACACAAGATCTTATGAGCTACTTAAAGTCCAATGTGGTAAAATGAAAATAATATTTAGTCAGTTTATTCCCTTATAATAATTTATCTTCATTTTAATAAAGGGAAAACTGAGTCACGAAGAGTAGAAATAAGTCAATTTTATAAATGCCCTTCAGTCTTTGACTTCATCAATATCAATAATGTTTTAAAGTTACATTATTTTCTTCCTGGAAATTCTTACATTGGTCATTTTATCAATGGAGAAACTGAGGCACAGGGTGATTAAAATGTGCCACCTCAAGCTAGGCTTCATAAAATAGTGCCTATATGAGAAATATAAGAACTCTAATTCTCAGAACAAAATTCTTTTTTCATTAGATTTCTACCCAAGTTTGAAACATCAAATCTACTCAAAGTTTGTGCAATTAGGTGATAACTGCTGTAAAGCTTGAGGTTGATACCAAGAACAGTGTGGGGTCTGGGATGGCAGCAAGAGTAATCACAATCCTTGACCTCTGTAAAGGGTTTCATAGTTTACGAGCACTCCACAGCTGCTATTACACTCTGTCCTCATCAAGGACATCAACACTGTCCCCTTTTAGAGATGAGGAGGCCGGAACTCAGAGGTTAGCGGCTTGTCAGAGAACAGAGTTAGCCCAGGCCAGAACTGGGACTGAAACTCAGGTCTTCTGAATCCAGGTTAGTAAGAACAAACTTGGGGGGAAAGAGATCACCAGACTTTTACTAGGAGACTTAGAGGAGACTGAAGGAGGAGGGGAAGAAGCTAGTACAGTCAGCATGTCAGCCCACATGATAGCAGAGAAGAAAATTATCATCACTAGGCATTTCAAATGATGACACGGACTGCTCTGGGCCTACTGACTGTGGCTGTAATCTCTGAGGGCCTGCAATCTAAGACAAACACGCTAGGAAGAACAAACATGTGTATGACATACAGATGATAGAATAAGAACAGTAATCTACCACAAGAGAGGAAAACATTTATATCATATCATATACATGTCCAGGTAAGTTTAGGGTATAGAGAATTTAAGTGTATAAATGAAAATGGGAGCAATAAAGAAGCACAAACTGGGGAAGAAGCACGCGCACACACACATACACACACACACACACACACATACACTCTAATCCAGGAAGAGTCTTATGGAAGAAAAATAAATTTTAGGAGTTCTTTCTTTTCTCTTTAATATAGAAGCAGTGGAGTAGCTGTGTTTTGATAGTGGAATCGAAAGTGTGAGATTTAGAACAGAAACTTATCCTAGGCATATGGAACAATTATAAAGATGGGTGGGAAGAGGGTAGGAGGGTAGTGTCAGTGGACAGAAAGGGCTTTGAGCAAGTGGAAATTCAAGAGAGATTACAACCTGTCCTGACTCCTGTGCTGTGTCTAAGTGTTTCCACCCCCATGCTTTCAGAAAGCTCACGCTATCCCTATTTCAGGAACATGAAGAATCTCCACGTTGTGAAAGCCTGTTTGCAGCAGATGGAGAAGGCAGCAGTGCTGTGGTGAAGGAAATAGTGGATAGGGACCTCGGGCACGCTGGGCAGGAAGTCCCTAGCCATCCCAATCTCCCTAGATTCTACCACCACAGGAGAGGTTCCCAGCACACGACTCATTTATCCGGACCCACTAATTGTTAGGGAATTTCCAATTTGCTTCATCAAACCCAAATTCATCTGTTGAGTTTCATGCCAGTGATTAGATTCTTAATGTAAAAACTGCTGAGTCCTGCTGGGATATAAAGATTTCTCAATATATCAGTTCAAACTCCAGCCAGATAGAGACCTGTATACCTCTGCTAATTGTGTTTACTCATGTCATCCTTTGTGACTCTAATTAGTCAGAGAAGCAGCAGCAAAGAACCACTAGGAGTCTGGGTTGAGTAAAAATATGTAGAAAGAGTCCCTATACTCTGGCCCTTTGTAGAACAAGTATCCTTCGAGTTGACAGTGCTGGCTCTAACTATGACCATTTGAGCTATGAGCCAAAGGTTAGCAATTTCAGACTTTCAAAAGAAACTACTCATTCCCAAACACCCTGGTTTCTGAGTTGACACAATTGCTAAAATTTGCGGGGGTGATATGAGAATTTGAGGATTCTCACAATAAGGATTCCTATGATTATTATTTTTGCCAACATTTATTCACCTGCCATACTTACAATGTGCCATCCTGTGTTCTAACCACTCTCTGTATGTTAACACATCTAATACAACCACACAAGTAGATACTGTAAGTATTATGTTCGCACAGATGAGGAACTGACACAGAGAAATCATTTAACCAAGGTTACAAAGCTAGTAGTTGAAGGCACAAGGACCTAAATACAATTTCCATCACTTAGCTAATAATTTTAAAGGAATGGTCAACCAAACATCTGACATTTACATGTAATCCACTGTTCAAATCTAGGTACTATGCAGAAGATACAAAGTCTATAGAGAGAGTTCCTATACTCAAAGAGTTAATGAACTAGTTGGAGATAACAGTAATCCTCTCTATGACTTAAATTTTGTTCCTTATCTTAAGCACCTAAATAGTAGGATTTTCTAACTAGAAAAGACCTGACATAACCAATGGTATTACCCAGGGAGAACAGGCAGACACCACTAGTGACTTTCTTTTAAATAGGTAAAGTAATTTCAGGTCAGAGAGGACCAACCTTTAATTAATTTATCAACAGCTAGAGAATGGCTAGTAGCGTATCCAAAACGGGAAGCCAACTTTTGTAACAATTAATGTTGATATTTCCATGTTCTAAGTGGAAGAAGGGATGAAAAGGTGTTTTTCTGTCAACCAGGCTGGAGTGCAGTGGCACCATCATAGCTCGCAAAGACTCTAACTCCTGGGCTCAAGCAATCCTCCTGCCTCAGCCTCCAGAGTAACTAGAACTGCAGGCGTGCCACCACGCCTTAAATTTTTTGTAGAGGTGGGGTCTTGCCTTGATGCCCAGGCTGGTCACAAACTCCTGGCCTCAAGCTATCCTAGGCCTACCAAAGCGCTGGGATTACAGGTGTGAGTCACCTCTCCTGGCCTGAGAAGGTGTTATTAGAGCAATGGTACAAAACAAAGTTTTGAACCATTTGATTAAAATTGATCTCCAATTCTCTTTCAATCCCATCTCCCCCTTCACCTCTTCACACTTATTTAATTCCAATTTATTTAACCTTTACTGATCCCCACTCCTTCCTTTCTTCTGCCTCTGGAGTGAAACCAGGCCTGGACACCACTCAGATTTACCGGGGTTGCGGGGAGGCGGTGGAGATAAAGTTGAAATGCTATGAGATCCTTTATCGTTAATGAGCCTAAAAAGAAAGGCGGGAGGGAATGCTTTGGACAAGGTATTTGTCATTGCTCGAGCAGAGACAAAAGGAAAAGGAAAAAGGGGAGATACGTTTGAATGACTTAAGGAGAAGACTTGCAGACTGCTTGGATTGAGACAGATTAAAACTAAATGCAGAGGGACAGGGATAAGCAGGGAAGCGGTCATACTCTCAGTCTTTACAGAGAGGAAATGCCAAAGCAATGTGCTTTAGAGAAAGCCTCGCAGCTTCTTTTATACGTCTATCAAAGATCCTTTTCTTAGAAGCCTGAAGTCTGCGGGTCCTCTCTTCCCATTGTGAGGGTTCCCCTCTCTAGGCGGTCCCAGGGCTGGTTTTTGCAGAAACAGGGGCCTCCTCTCTGCAGATGGGGGCGTACCCCGGAGTCCTGGGTCCTTCCTGCGCGGGGCAAAGGGGAGTGCGAGGTCCCCTTCCGCGGCAGGTGGGCGCCCCCGGCGCAGCACCTCGCCCCGCGGACCCGGTACCGCAGCACAGCGCCGGCCTGGCGTAGGAAGCGCGCGGAGGCCCAGCGCCCCCTCGTGCCGCGTCACCCCTCAGAGTCCGGCGGACCCAAGCCCAGCAGCCGAGGCTGGCCGCCCGCCCGCCGCGAGCGTGCGTAACGTGCCCCCGCAGCGTGACGCATGCGCCGTGTCGGGGCGGATGCGCGGGATGCGCCGCGGGAGGAGCGCGCAGGGGGCGGAGTGCGGGAGGAAGTCGGCGTCTGCTGAAAGGAGAAAGGAGAGGGAGACGCGGCTGGGTGCGGCGAGGTGAGGCTGGGAGCCGACGGGAGGGCGCCTCCTCCTCCCCGCCCTTTCTGCTGAGGATGGAAGTGACGAAAGCAACCGAGGAGGTCACTTCCTGCTGGGGTGGATGAGGAGGAGCCGGAGACGCCGCGGAGGAGACCGGACCGAAGGCTGACCGTGCCGGGGAGAGGTGAGTCCCGGCCTTGCCGTGGCGGTAGGGCCCCTCTGGGCCGGACCCCAGACCCCGGCGGAGACGGCGTCTCTGGGGTCCGGGCGGCTCGCCCGGCTGCGTACCAACCCAGCCGGGCCTCACCCAGCGCGGGGGGCGGGGGAGGTAGGGGGCCCCGTGTCTGGGGGGCGACAGGGACTCAGGGCAGCGTTCGTGCGATGGCTCCGCGGAGCCCCGAGGCCACGGGGTAAGGGAAGCCTGGCCAGGAGGCGAGTGGAAAGGCGGCTCTGAGGGCTGTGGAAGCCGATACCGGGAGCTGCTTCAGGAGATCGCACGCCACACTGTGCATGCCCCACTTTTTGGGGAATGGTCGTGATCTGAGGAAGGACAGGGGACCTGAGGTTTGCAGAGATGAGACGAGTGGCTCCACTCGGACGGAGTGTCTTCGTAGTGAATTTGTGAAAGGCATGCAGAGGCGCCTCCTGAGGAAGGGGGGCGCGTTGTGGGGAAAAGCGAGGAACGGGAGTGTCAAGAGAGGTCTTCCTGGTCAGGTCATCGTTGCAACGGGATTTGGACCTCAGTCGTGCTGGTTGAAGGGCATTCCTGTGGCAGGGTAAAGGCCCCGCGATCCGACAGAGCAGTCTAGGAGTTAGAGTCCAGGGCAGCTTCCTGGAGCCATGGGGAAATTAGTGTTTTTCCTCCCTCATTGTCACTGGGATAGGAGAGGAAGCTCCTGCCTCAGTCCTGGTGCCTTGTTATTGTATATCTTGTTTGTGTATTTCTGCGTTCCTTGTCTGTTTGTTTTTTTCCTTCCTTTACCGTATTTATCTTGTTCTCGGCCTCTGGTGGCTTTATAGACTGAAACTTGCTGGTTTCCTTAATGTGTATAGTGAGAAAAAAATTTAAAGGATCTAGAGGAATCTTAGGTTAGAAGAAATTTACAAGATTAGGAATTTGTCCCCACCCTGGGGCCACTGAGGCACCTACATTCCCTCCAGACTTCTGGCAATGTGGGTGCTAAGGGCCTGTCATCTACACTGAAGAACAATGAGGGTAGATCTGCCCTCTCCCGCCCCCATGTCCCTCTGGCAGTCTCACCTCTCGCTCCTTTTTTCTAAAGAATTGACTGACTCAAAGCTGCCTGCTGCTAGGAACAGGAAATTTATTGAGGAACTGTAAATCTGGATGGAATGAATTTAGATCTCAGCAAGACTCCCTCCACTCGTTGGCCAGAAGGTCCTCAGAAATGCTTGCTCTTTTTCCCTTCCTGTTAAAGGAAGAAAATGTAAAATTTTTCTCAAAAAGACCTTTGAAAGTGTGTGTGTGTTCGCGCGTTTCTTGTATTGAGTAACTGCACATATGGTGTGTTTACTTCCTGTATCCCAGGGTATTTTTCAAGGGGGAGGGGGCAGTTTCTGACTGGGAGGAGTTTTCCTTCTCCCATCTCACATAATTCAGTAAAATAAATCAAAATCAGATGTTCATTCTTGAGTGGAAATCAGATGGATTTAGATTTTTTTCACCTTTTAAGCTGGTACATCTGGGTGAACTCAGGCTTGTGTATCTTGGCATCTGGGCTTGTCTAGTAATAGAAGACAAACTGTTTGACTTGTTTTGGCTGCCTTTTTGGACCCGTTTCACTGTACCCGTCTTTTTTTTTTTTTTAAACATTCGAAGGGTTGGTCAGGAGGAAGAAAGCAAATATTAAAGACAGTGTTTACGCTCTGTGGTTTAAAGTCAGGTGAGAGATAATTACGGCTTTTGAAGCTGATGACCTGAGGCCCATCATTTGATGACTTAGGGATTAGCAGTTTGGAGGTGACATGTTTGAAAGAAAGAGGGTTGCATGAGGAAGGAAAGACAGGGAAAGGAAGTTTGAGAAAAGGCTGCGCTAGAAAACCTTGGGAGGATAATAAATAAATAGCATCTTAAAGTAATTGTGTGGCTTGTGTCTCTCAGCAGGAGGGTGAAAATGAAAGCAGGCTGTAGCATCGTGGAAAAGCCAGAAGGAGGTGGAGGTGAGCAAAAGCTGATCATCTCTGATGTACCTGCAGTGTCCCTCAGTGATTCCTGTTCTCTTCACTTGTGCTCTGTTCTCAAATGCCTGACCATGACTGACGGTGGATACTGCGGGGACAGTTGTAGGCTTGTTTCCTGCAGATGTATATTTAACATGTCTGGTCACCACACCCACATCCCAAGCTTTAGTCTCTTCCCTGTTAGAGACACAGTTCCAACTTTGGGGGTAAAGAGTTTTCAGCTGTATTTTCCTGAAACATTGGTTACTCTTTCTTGTTTTTTTGCTTTGGAACTTTCATGCCCTCATAGAAAGTAGGTGTGTGATTTAGTAATGTATGAAAGGGTAAGAGATTAGGACACCTGGGTGCTGCTGCCCAACTCTGTTAGATTTAATGATTGCTACAGGGATAGGTAACTTCCCTGCTTTCCTCTCCCCTGCTGGGGTTAGTCCAAGCTGACTGAAAGGGTGTTTATGGCATGTTTGCAGAGCACTTTAGAGTTTCTGACCAATGGAATGTAGAGATGGGGGTGCTGGTATGCATGTACCTAGCTCCTGACTACCTTGATCTTGCCCTTTTCACATTAAAGGCTATCAGTTTCCTGACTGGGCCTACAAAACAGAGTCATCTCCGGGCTCCCGGCAGATCCAGCTGTGGCACTTCATCCTGGAGCTGCTGCAGAAGGAAGAGTTCCGCCATGTCATCGCCTGGCAGCAGGGAGAGTACGGGGAGTTTGTCATCAAGGATCCAGATGAGGTGGCCCGCCTCTGGGGCCGCAGGAAATGCAAACCACAGATGAATTATGACAAGCTGAGCCGGGCCCTCAGGTAAGGGAAAGTATTCCCAAATCTGTGGTGTTAATAGATTGGAAGGAGACTAAGCAGTTCAGTGAATGTTAGATGAAAAGGGTATCAGGTGATAAGAGACTACACTATCTTAGTGAATAATGTGTGGCTTTAAAGTGGGAGTAGAAGAGCTGTTGAATCTGAGTAGCACAGGCACAGGAGGAGAAAAGGCATATCTTTGGTTATATGTAGGAGGGAATTCCAATGTGGCTGGCACTGGATTCTGACAGACAGCCGATTTTGCTCTGTAGTGGGCGAGAGTGTATGGTGAAACATGGATTAGAGCTCATTTATAATCCAGAGGATTCGTTTAGACTTCCCTATTGGGAATCTGTTAGAATTTCTGTTCTTTGGGCTCCCCTGGAAGAAACTAGGAAAGCGTGAAGCAAGCTCACAAGGGGAGGGCTCACTGAATGGCACTGACCTATCTATTCAGGAACTATATCTGTGAGCTCAGTTGTCAGTCCATAGGTTGCTCCAACATGTCTAAAGACTGATGACTGCAAGTTTTCTCAGGTTCTCTTTTCCCCTTGTCAGTCTTTAAATTTCATAACCCTTTATAAAGCCCTCAAGGTGCCAGAAGGCAGTTTATGACCTGTGTTACTGAATAGATACAAGGCTAAAGGTTTCAGGTACAGTGAAGTTTTCCTGCCTTTCTTCACGCTTAGTGATCCTGAATGTAAAATTTGTACGGTAGCTTTGCTGGAGCCTCTCATAGTCCTTTGACTCTTTGAAAGGGAAGGAGGCCACACTGGCTGCTCTTTTCCAGATCAGTGTATGCCATTGTTTGACTTGCCACCATAAAACAGTCCTACATTCCTTTGTCTATGCCTCCAGAGGAACCACATCAGGGCTCCCAAGAGATTTGTCTACTCCTACCTAGGCAAGACAGAAAAGAGAAAGTAGGCAGTGACATATAGTGGAACAAGAAGGAAATGAACGATAGAATTGAAATTGTAGACAGATGAAGAAGAAGGGTGATCGGGGTTGGGATAGGTGTTCAGAATCTTAAAGTGAGGTGGTTTTTGTAAAGCTCTAGCCAAAGACTGGAGCTTAGTTGAAAATTGAATGAGAAATGTAAGCTGTTAGATCTCCCAGCTCTAACCTGAGGGCCAGGCTGCAAAAGAATGGTAGTGATGTTTGTAAGTAATACTTAGAGCAAGAATTGTTGGTCTTAGTGGTTACCTAAGTATATGAAGAGCTGTCAATAGCTACAGGATAAATTGACATGTATTCCTTTTTTTTTTTATACAGATACTATTACAACAAGAGGATCCTGCATAAAACAAAAGGGAAAAGGTTTACTTATAAATTTAACTTCAACAAGCTGGTGATGCCCAACTACCCATTCATCAACATTCGGTCAAGTGGTAAGATGCAAACTCTCTTGGTGGGGAATGACTTTTGAGTTGAAAAGGATTTTTAAAACCCAAATCTAAGACATGGCTTGTTTAAGGAGATTTCAGAAACACTAAAGTAATATGATCCCTTAGATTGCCTCAGTGTTCTTATTCAAGTCTTCTCATTCATCTCATAAAGAGTACTAGGCTATGCGGTATCAAGATAGATTTGTTTGGTTTATTTGTTTGGTTCCTTTTTCTGAGTATTATTTGTAATCTCCTAGATATTATCACACTATCCTGTTTAGGAATGATATTTCATAGGTTTGTGTTAATCTTTAAGTTCAGGACTCAGTTTTAACACCCTGCCCAATAGCTCTTTCATAGATGGGAACCTGTTTCTACAAACACTTCCGATTTTCTATGAAACTACCAAGCTCTCCCTTATCAAGTGAATATCATCAAAACCACAGCATCCTTGATCAGAGAAGGGGAGGTTTATATGTTTGCACTGAGAAGCAGTGTCTTTGATCTGCACCAGCAAATCCTCAGAGAACAAGACTCTGGGGTTACTTGACCTTCTCTCCTTTTAAGTGCAACAGGGCTTCCCCTCTTGGCTCTCAGCTTTATAGCTTTCCATCACAGCTCCTCATAGAAGTTTGAAGCTTTTCTCTTGATGCAGAAGGCAGACTCTTAAAAGATTTTGTTGCTGTTATGTGTGGTTTTTGTTTGTGGGGATTTTTTAGATGCAAATCATACCCCTACCCAAAAAAATAAAGACCTTCTTCATCTTTGGGATATGTGTTCGAAGACCCTCACTGGATCCTCAAACCACAGATAGTACCTTACTCCATATATACTATGTTTTTTTTCTATACATACGTACCTGTGATAAAGTTTAATTTATAATTAGGCACAGTGAGATTAACAATAACTAGTAATAAAATAGAACAGTTATAGCAATATACCATAATAAAAGTTATGTGAATGTGGTCTCTTTCTTTCTCAAAATATCTTATTTTACTATGCTTACGTATTTTCAGACCTCTGAGGGTAACTAAAACAGTGGAAAGCAAAACCGACGCCTCGAATAAGGGAAGACTACTATAGTTTGTATTTAACTATTTTCTGACCAGGCCATCGGTACTCTCTTTTTGGCCTTGTATGTTAAGGCAAAGAGAGCTGATCGCAGTTCTGCACTAATACAACTTCTCAGAGAAAAATGGATGAAACCTGAAAAATTAGAGCGGGGGTGTGGCTGAGAGAATATAATGTTGAGATCCATTGCAGATATGTAATTACCGCACACAACAAGTTAGGGCAGTTTTAGCTTGACTGTGCTATCATTACAGTTCCATCTCTCTTTCTGTAACCACTCCCTCCTGTCCCTGGGGCATGCATTTAAAAAAAAAAAGTGGTATTGGAATGCATCTCTCTAATTACAACCTGTTTTCTTTCCTTGTGCCTGAGGGAGAGGCGTTAGGAAATCAAACCTGTTCTAGCCACTGGAATCTTGTTTCCTCTATTTCTCACCCTTGCTCCTTCCCTGTGTACATTTCTTTTAGGCATACTTTTTGGTTGCTCACATCCCCTAGACACAACTGTAAAGAACTGGAGTCATTAGTTTATAGAGAACTTTTACCCAAATAGGCCAAACGTTGTTTAAGGTTAACTTTGTGATGACAAAGGAATGTAACATTTATTGAACATGTACTTAATGGAGGTACTTTTGCTTAGTGGTTTTGTGAATTATTCAACTCTTCTAGCCCATAAAATGTATGTCTTGATATCCACATTTTACAAATGATAAAATTAAAGATGAGGGCCAGGCGCAGTGGCTCATACCTATAATCTACTCTGGGAGGTGAGACAGGAGAATCCCTTGAGGTCAGGAGTTCGAGGCCAGCCTGAGCAAGAGTGAGACCCTGTCTCTACTAAAAATAGAAAAATTAGGTGTTGTGGTACGTGCCTGTAGTCCCAGCTACTTGGGAGGCTGAGGCAGGGAGATCACTTGAGCCCAGGAGTTTGAGGTTGCTGTAAGCTAGGCTAACACCATGGCACTCTAGCCCTGGCAACAAAGTGAGACTCTCCCAAAAAAAAAAAATTAAGGATGAGGACAACAAAGTTAAAGACGGATTAGGGTGGGTTGACTGGTTATCCGTTGAAGTTTCTTAGGAGAGAATTCCTGAGAGATTGAGCTATTGAAATCCAGCTCTTATTTAATAGATCATACATTTCTCTTCTGGATTGGGATTCATTCATTTGTCCAACAGATAATGTGTTAAGCTCTAAAGACCAAAAAAAAAAAAATTATGGGGAGTTCTTTCCCTCAAGGAACTTAAGGTTTAGCAAGAGAGATAAGATATACTAGGTTTGATACAATGTGAAGTGTGATAAGTGCTCTAAGAAGTAGAGGTATGTGGATTTAGATCCTGGAGGCCAAAGAGATCGTTTCCACAAGAGGTAGGGTCGTAGAGTTGGGCTATTCTGGTCTGTGTATTTTTTAAAATAAGGCAATACGTGGTTGATTGTAACATAACCAAATAATAAAGAGGTTTATAGAGTAAAAAGGTAAATATTTTTTTCCCCATTCCCCATAATCCTACTCACTGTTAACAATTTAGGGTACTTAACATTTAGGCAATATTGAAAGTACTTGTATGTACAGTATTTCATTTTTATCATTAAAAACATCCTATAAAATACACTAAATATATCTTAATATTTCCTTGTATTTGCATAAGAAACACTGGAAAGATACAAAAGATACTAGTAAAAACAGTTACCTGTTAAGGGATGAGGGCAGGACAGATCAGATCAAGGATGGACTTCAGGCATCTCAGTCTATGCCTCCCTACTGCCACCCACCCCTACCCTGGTTTTTTACTTTTATTTTGGAAAACTTCAAACCTACAGAAAAATTGGGAGAAAAAAACTAGTGAACACCCGTATATCCTTTATCTAGATTCACTAGTGGTTAATATTGTTGCCACATTTGCTTTATCTCTTTCTATTTATATGTACTTTTTAAATCTTTTGAGATTAAGTTGCAGACATCATGACATTTCACCCCTGTGTACTTCAGCTTGTATTTCTCAGGAACAAGGACATTCTCCTCCATAACCACAGTAACATTATCACACCCAAAAAGTTCAGCACACAATAGTGTAATACTATTATATATCATATGGTCCATATTTGAATGATACATGTCTTTTTAAGTTTTGATTTTGAACCATGATTATTATCAAATAAAAAAAAATTTTTTTTTTTTAACAGCCACATGCAATTTGCTATGTACCAGTACTATTCTAAGGGCTTTACAAATGTTAACTCTTTTACTCCTCATAACATTAGGATTGGTCCTATTCTTACCTATTTTTACAGATAAGGAAACTGGGGCACAGAGAGGTAAGTTGTCCAGAGGCACACAACTAATGAGTGATATGACCAGGATTTAAACCTATGCAAAGACCTTATTATTTCCATTTTGCCAGAAGGGGTCAAAGATTCCAGTTTGTTACTTGTACTAGGCTACAAGGTAGAACGTGCCAGAACTGAGATTCAGACCCAGATTTTCCAACCCTACTACTCAAATTTCATGGTAGCTTCATGGAGGTGATCATCTTCCAAAGCAATTCGTGCTTTCTTTTTTTTTTTTTTTTTTTTTTTTTTTTTTTTTTTTTTTTTTTTTTTTTTTTTTTTTTGAGACAGTCTCACTTTGTTGCCTAGGCTAGCTAGAGTGAGTTCCATGGCATCACCCTAGCTCACAGCAACCTCAAACTCCAGGGCTCAAGTGATCTCCTGCCTCAGCCTCCCAAGTAGCTGGGACTACAGGCGTGTGCCACCACACCCGGCTAATTATTTTGTTTCTATTTTTAGTTGACTGGCTAATTTTTTTCCTATTTGTTTAGTAGAGACGGGGTCTCACTCTGGTCAGGGTGGTCTCGAACTCCTGACCTCAAGCAATCCTCCTGCCTCGGCCTCCCATAGTGCTAGGATTACAGACGTGAGATACTGCGCCCAGCCTCATACTTTTCTTTTTTAACCACAAACTTTTCTTTTTAAACAAAATCTTAAATTTGCTATCTTCATATATAAAAAGTAAGGCTACTCTAGTTAGTCAGAGGTATGGGGCCAGAATGCTACCTTGCCACCAGTGCTCCCAGTCTCACCTTCCTTTGCTCCAACTAAATGCATTTGGAAAATGCTATTAATGATTATGTCTCCTTCTTATAGATGTACAGTATACTTTAGCATGTGTAAAGACTGAAATATCCCCTAGTTGTTTCTTACCCATTCATTTATTTTAATTGATTTAATCAAGCATTTCTGAACTGCTTAAGAAACAGGACTTTTCTCTTCCCCTGCACATTATACTTAAACTTATTCTGTCCTTCAGAATACATAGAAGTGGTTTTTTGCTTTTGAGTAGATGTGCTCTTAAGAAAAAGTTAAGATCCAAAAGAATAAAAGAGGGTGGAATTTTAGCTACTGTAATAAGCCAGTAGAAGAGATACTTTTGGCCTGGGATCCTCTTGGCTCTACTCAAATCATTTGCAAGGTCATCCATCTGTTTTTCCTAATTGTAAGATTAAATCAGTGGCTTCAAAAGAAAAAAAAAGTCCTGCAGAGCAATTTTCTATGGAACATCAGTTTGGGAAGTGCCGCTCTGGCACAGTGTTACTCAGTCACATGTACCTAGAAAGCTACAATCTTGCACATACCAGTAGACTACAAAATCATATCAGAGGATGACTCTGTTATACCAAGAATAGAAGATGAGAGCTATTTGGGACCAATTTCTAACCACACTCTATCCTATGCACCTTTTTTATTTCCTCTTCTAGATCATCATACTTTCTTATTTTAGTTTTTCCTGTTCTTCTCTGTTTTTTCCTTCTCCCTTCTCATCTCTGCCTTAGGGCATAAAGAGCCCTCTTGACATGTATCATCGGCATACATGCTGCTGACACCTCCCAGGAAACTCACAGGGTCCCTGAGGCCTCAGATGAAATACCTTTCCCATGCCTTCTTTATCAGAAGGACCTTCAGGGGAAGTTGAGAACTTGGGAGCCTGTAAAGTTGATGTGGTTAGCACAGTGAATGAAAATAAGAAAAGACTTTGCAAAACTGAAAATTGAGACAGGTGATAGGTACGTAGTATTTAAAATTGCAGAGGAGAAGGCGCTTGTACCATTCATTCATTCAACAATATTTATTGAGCACCTACTAACTGTTAAGCTCTGAACTGCTGGGAATACCATTGTGAATAATAGGAAGTCCCTGCCTTGTGGAGTTTATGTTTTAGAATATAGATAAGCAAGGAAATGATATTTCAGACAGTAAGGAATATTGTCAAGAAAGTAAAGTTAGAGGCTAGAGAAAGATGGCAGCTAAATTGAGTTGAAGCAGCTGAGCAGCAGTTACTAGGAAAATGGAGAACTGTGGGATTTAGTCCAGTTGGAATGTTTGTTTCCTGTTGATACTAAACATTTTGTACTTTAGCATAAGTAAAAGTAGTGATAATAAATGACCAGACCTCTAACGTAGTCTTTCGTCTTTTCCACCATCACAGGTGTGGTTCCTCAGAGTGCGCCACCAGTGCCAACAGCCTCTTCCCGGTTCCATTTCCCACCTCTGGACACCCATTCTCCAACCAGTGATATGCAGCCGGGGCGGTTCTCTGCTAGTTCCCTAACTACTAGCCAGGAGTCCAGTAATGGCACTGATAGGAAGGCGGAGCTTTCAGAGCTAGAGGATGGCTCAGCCACTGACTGGCACCGGGGTATGGATCACATATCCTCCCGGAACGCTGTCAGTGGCGGAGGGATCGGCCATCAGAAACGCAAGCCTGACATAATGCTTCCTCTGTTCACCAGGCCGGGGATGTACCCTGACCCCCACAGTCCCTTCGCTGTCTCTCCAATCCCTGGCCGTGGAGGTGTCCTTAATGTCCCCATTTCGCCAGCCCTCTCCCTGACGCCCACCATCTTCTCCTATAGCCCATCACCAGGCCTGAGCCCCTTCACCAGCAGCAGTTGCTTCTCCTTCAACCCTGAGGAAATGAAACACTACCTTCATTCTCAAGCCTGTTCTGTGTTCAACTACCATCTGAGTCCTCGGACTTTTCCCCGTTACCCAGGGCTCATGGTCCCGCCACTGCAGTGCCAAATGCATCCTGAGGAGTCAGCTCAGTTTTCTATCAAGCTGCAGCCCCCACCGGTTGGGCGGAAGAACCGGGAGAGGGTCGAGAGCAATGAGGAATCGGCACCTGTTGCCGCACCTACCATGGCTCCTGTCCCTCCAAGAATTAAAGTGGAGCCTGCCTCCGAAAAGGATCCGGAGAGCCTCAGGCAGTCGGCACGAGAGAAGGAGGAGCACGCTCAAGAAGAGGGGGGCACTGTGCCGAGCAGGACCATAGAAGAAGGAAAAGGCACCATCTTTGCCCGCCCCACTGCACCGCCCATCTGGCCGCCTGTGCCCATTAGCAGCCCAAGCGAAGAACCCCTGGAGGTGACTGAAGACAGCGAGGACAGGTCTGGCAAAGAGCCCAGTGCACCTGAGAAGAAGGAAGATGCCCTGATGCCCCCCAAGCTTCGGTTGAAGCGGCGCTGGAATGATGACCCTGAGGCCCGAGAGCTGAGCAAGAATGGCAAGTTCCTCTGGAACGGGTCAGGACCCCGGGGCTTGGCGACAGCAGCTGCTGATGCTTAGAACTGGAAGTGGATTTGGAGCTGTTTATACTATAATCAAATACATACATGTATTTATGTAGCAAGATTTCAGGGTGGGGGGGAGGGAGTTAGACCGGGCTGATCATTCTAGGGGCATAGACTTGTTATTTTTATGTTTTGGGGATGGGATCGGGTATCTTCTGTTGTAAATTAGGTGGGATATGAACACTTTTTTTTTCCTGGTGAGTAGGACACAGGGAGGGTATTGAACTGAAAGGAGAAGGAGCCTCTTTCCTGTTGAGGCTTACACTTTCTGACAAACAGACTCCTAAAGGGCCAAGATACTTTTTGGTCCCATGATAGTTCAGGTTCCAGACTTCTTTCTTTTCTATTGTATTTATATATGGAAAGCCATTAATGAGTTTATTATGCTCCAAGAGATATACATAAAAGGGAAAAGGGCATGATTGGGAGGTTGAGCAGTGAGAGATCATTGATAATAAGTATTTTGCCTGAAATGTTTCTTTATAATTATTTCAGGGGAGGAATAAGATAATCTCAGTCTTACTGGGGTGGGGGTGGGGGTCGTTCAGATGTTGCTCTTTCTCTTTTTTCCTTTTTTCTTGTTGTTTGGCATTTTTTCTTTTCTGTTTTAAAAAAAAATGTTTTCAGGAAACAGGAGCGTACTGCCAGTTAGAGTGGGGCTGGGAAGGCACAGGAGCTGGCCACCTCTCAGCCGCATGGTTGAGACAGGAAGCCCTGCTGTGAGTTTCTTGGACTTTTCACCTACTTCACCTATTAAGAAGCCATGAGGAGTTGTAAACTCTTGTTCAGGGAAGAAAGAAGAGGGCAGGAGGAAGGAACCCAATGCCTTTAAAAACAAAACAAAAAAATCTTCATTTTTCCTTTTCCATTGTGGGTTTGGGGAGCCAAACCAAAGTGTGACTGTGAGCAAGTTCACTGAGAGGCATGACAACATTGTTGAAGATGTCTTTCCATTATGTCTGATTCTTTTATTTTCTTAAGTCAAGCCTTAACTATGGACACACTTTAAGATGATACGGGTCTGTCAGCATAAACCTGTAAAAGGGCACGGACAGCTTTTCAGAAAATCCAGGAATGTTGAGACATGGTTAAATTTCTAGCTGATATTTAGTCATTCCCTCTTGGTGTTGGGATGGGTAACAAAAAGGCAGGATTATGGGAGTTAAGGGCAGATGGTACCTGGCAATGCAGAAGGTAGCTGGGGGTACAAGTGGATGTTTGTTGAGACTGAAGAAAGAGGTGGAAAGAAGACACACAAAGCAACCAGATGCCCAAAGCCTGGTGTGAATGAAAAAGTTGGTGTCTGTCTCGTGGTGTTGCGATTCTTGCTAATACCCATTTGCCTGGATCGTTCTGATTCTCATGTCATGCTCAATTGACTGTCCTAGATGAGACTCCAGTTTACAGGCAGTGAGGAATTGTTTCTTTATGGGAAGTTCCCTTTCAGCAACTTCAAAGGAACAGGAAAGTATTGATCTTGGACTAGGGGAAGAGAGAAACAGCAGCTCACTTCCTGTGTGTGCCTATGTAGTGTGTGTAGATACTTGACTGTGGCTCAGATCCGCAGGGCAGCAGGGAGAGAAGAAATAACTCAGTATCTGATGGGAGCAAGGGGTGGCACAGGGATGGTGTCTAGGAATTGGAGAACTCCCTGACTCCACCTTAGCTTAAGCGAACTCTATATACTGAGTACCATTTGACGGTTGTCTTTTAATGGTGGGGGGTGTTTTTTCTTCTTTAGACTGTAGTGCTTACATGAGAGAGGGGCTCAGAAAAGGTTAGAGCAGGTGAGTGAGACAGTCGATAGCCTGGTATGACTTGAGTCCAAGGTATTATTTCTTGACAAGCATCCTCCCCTATTTGATTCAGATTCCATGAGTGACTTGTCTTTCTTCAAGAAAGGGACTGCGAGAGTGGTCCCTAGCAACTCAGGCTTTGGTCAGGCTGCAAAGGGCTCCTCTTTCAGGCTGCCTTTGGTGGTTGTGTTTTTGTCAGTTTCTTTCTCTGCACCTCGACTTACCTCTGAATCAGAGAAGCAAGCCCAGCAGGTAGGGGAGGGTTCTCTGCTTGGTGTTGCCTGATCTAACCAGGGAGGCTGGCTGGCCACCCACTGTCTGCTAGAGGGGAGGGCCAGCGGTGTTGGTATGAACTCAGGAATAGAAACACGAGGCCTTTAAAATAAGAGAGAGAGAAAAATCCATGATGCATACCTGTAACCCCCTAGAACCCAAGTGCCAGAATTAATTCCTAGATGCTGCTTCTGTTTGAAAAAGTCACTGCTTTTACACTTGAAAAAACACACACTCGGAAAATGTTCAACTCCATGAATAATGTTTTTTGGCTTTAAGAAATTGTTTGGTGTTTAACTGTTTCCTTTGATTGCCATTCCACCAGTAAATTGTTGGTTGATCTGCACTGCACACTGGGGTTGGGTTGGGGGGTGGGGGGGTGGGGCTTAAACAGAGCCGAACTTGGGCTTGCTCAGGAAGTGGACCAGGGAATGTGGAGGTCATTGATATTTCCTGGGGCAAAGGAGTGGGAAGTACTTTTTCTCCCACCAGCCCATTCCTGGCAGCACCTGTCACCAGCCTGGTAGAAAGCCAGCCCTTTCTCTTCTGTGAGCATCTCATCACTGTCCAACAGCAGGTGGAAAAAAGGGGGACAAAAACCAGACCTATTCTTCTCCCCCATTTTTTTCCAAATTTTGCTGTGCCAAATGTTTAAAACTTTGCAAATATAGATCTACTGAAATTTCATTAATCAAGAACTGGTTCATGTAAACAGTTTGCTTTTTTAGCTATAGAAAACAGTAGAGATCTCTTAAGGGCATCCAGCCTCGCTGAGCTCACCTTTTTTTCTGAAGAATGGGTAGGAGTGAAATACAAACAATTCACCAAGTCTGTTCACTCTAATTTTCAAGCTGCACTGCATTAAACCCAACTCACTAATACAGGGAATTTTTGCACCCTAGTCCTCCATGGGCCAAGAAACTTTCAGAAGCATTAAAAAAAATAGTTGAAGTATATCACTTCTCACCAAATGGGCAGAGTCAGTTGGCTGTTTGTCCCTTGTTTCTTTATTTATTCCATAATTATGTTTGTGCTTTTCATTTTGTAAACAGTTATGGAACATGCATTTTTATTTTGTTTTAAAAGAAAAACTTTGATTCAGTCTTTCAAGACCTGTTCCATTTTGGATTTCTTCGGGGAAAAAAAAGTTACCAGTTAATTTGTTTTGAAATATTTAGGCATCCTTTGAGTTATAAAATTGTGATGCAGGGATTTGTGAATGAAACATTCACATGTGAAAGAACATTCACTAGTTATCCGCTTAAGCAGAATAAAGTGTGTATATGTACATAAAATGTAAGTAATCTTAACTCCATTGTGCAGTGCCTTTTAGATGTTCCGCTTTCTATAAAGTCTTCAAATTTTTGCATATATATTATATATATGATGTAATGTTATAGAAATATATGTATAATATACATATTTTTTTTCCAGGGGTATCTGATAGCTCTGTATTTTGTTATGGAAGTTGAAAGAAAAAAAGTATTTTACCTCAGAAATTAAAGTTAAATAAAAAAAAAATGCTTTTAAGTAATGTTTGCTGAGTGTTGGTTTTGTTGTTCATCGTACACTATGCCAGGGTGGTCTTGCCAGAGGATTCGCCAAGCCCACGCTAGCTCACTCTGCCCCCACACTTCTTTATTCCTATTGTGCAGGTACCCACATCGTGACGAAGTAGGTCTCCTAACAGTTTTGGAGATTGTTTCCTCGAGTGAATGACTGCTGCCAGATAAAGGAAACTGAAGCCAGAGACTAGTGTTAGGTGGAAATTTCTTTCTCAAGATTTTTGTGAGGATTCATTAAGAGTACGTGTCGAAGCCAGACACAAAAGACCACACGTTGCCTGATTCCGTTCATATGACATGTCTAGAACAGGCAAATCCATAGAGACAAAATAAGATTAGTGGTTGCCAGGGCAAGTGGGGAGTGATCAGCAGAAACCAGGGCCTTCCCCACCCGCCTGCCCAAGAGTCCAGCTGAGCCAGTGCCTAGTATTTCCCAGTAGAGAACAAGAATCCAGAGGGGTTGGTTCTCAGTGGGGTATTGAATAATATAACACACGTTAAGAAAAATCACGCCAGCCAGGAATCTCATTTCCCTCACGTGAGACAGGCAAAGTGACTGCGAAGGTCCCAACATGCCAAAGGTTAATTTGACCTCTACTAAAGGGTCCTGTGAGTAGTTCAGGAAGGTTGGAATGGAGTGGTGAGGGGTGCAGCCGAAGAGGCACACAGGGATGGATGAGGAAGGGTCTTAGAAGACACCTAAAGAGTTTGCCTTGTACTCCAGCACTGCCATCCCCAATATTTCACGAAAGAGTTCGGGCTTGGCCAGTGAGGATCATTGAAGGCATAGCCCTAAGAAACTACCCTATCAAATTAATCTCTGCTCGAGAACACGCAGCTCATGTAGGTGAGAAAAAGGAAAGTGGCAGGGGCTGACTGGTAACCCCATGTCACAAAGCTGGGAATGTGCCTGGATGAGACCCTCCTGCTGGGAAAGCCTCCTGCTTCCCTCCCCTCCTCATTGCTGAAAGCAAAAGGAGACTTGTTTTACAAACAAACTTGCACGTAGTTTGGAGATCAGGATCCCAGCCATCTGGTTCTGCCAGTTTAAGTGGACCTTTCAGTGCTTAGAATTGGATGGTGATTATTCGAATTCTGAGCAAAGAGGGGAAGGAGTGATGATGAGCATAGGGGAAAGAAATGAGGAAAGAGATAGGGCCTAGGGGGTGAGAACACTGGTGACAGTGAGAGGACAAGAGGAAAAGGTAAGCCTCGGAGCCCTTCATAGAGTGTTAGTAAGGAATAAAGCCTTCGATGGCTGCCCATTATTTCCCTGTTGTAGTTTGGAAGGCCCGTCATAATCTGGCCCCTGCTTCCCTTCCAGCCTCATCCTTCACCATGCCCGTGGGGGACACACTCCCCCACCCTACTCAAAGCCTAAGCTGCAACCATAACAGCCATCGTGAATAGAGCAGTTACCATGTGCCAGGCATTTTTAAGGACTGACTTGTATTAACTCATGTAATCTTCATGATAACTCTGAAATAGGCGCTGTGTTTGTTCCCATTTTGTTGAGGAGAACACTGAGTCTTAGAGAAGCCAACTGGCATGACCAGCATTCAAGTCCCAGTACCTGTGCTCTTCAACCACTCTGCTGCAAGGTCTCTCGGCCACGCTAAACAAACTACCAATCTGGTGAGTCCCACTCTGCCTGGAACACCCTCTGTCCTCCACCTCACCCACACAATTATATCTTACCATTCACCGTTCAACTCAGATGTCATCATCTCCAGGCCGTTCCTGGCAGGTCAGGGGCACTCCTGTGTTGTATCC